TTGGGTGTGAATAACCCTTAATTAACCCTTCTGTCCTGTGACTACTGGGAAACAGGCTGGCTGACTTTCACAGGAAACTGTCTCACCTACCAAAATATCAGGTGCTCTCCTGCGTGTTTGTGGATTAAAATCTGAAGTCAGACCAAACCACCTGCTAACTGACAGACAGTGGCCAAACTGATGCCAAACCACCTGTTTTTTTCCTAATAAGTTAACAGCAAGCTTAGGATCGAGCCTTGCTGAAGAAAAACATTTACAATTCCCAAACACAAATACATTGCAAATAAGGTGCATTAGAATATGCAGTCTCACAATATGCACATATGACTTGATTTTAAGCATTTTTACACTCCCAGTAGCTCTTCTCAATACCCAAAACACAATTTAAAACACTGGACAATTTAGGGTCAAAAACTGTTCACTGACGACAGTGCAGCTAGCAGTGCCTTCCATCTGCCTCTATAAAAAGCCCCGCAGGGCATGCTGGGATCCAAGACCAAAAGCATGTGTGCTCACAAGGGAGGTCCTGTATGCTTACAAAGCTACAAAATCGGCACAAGTGAAATTTAAAAAAAAAAAATCAGAGCAAAACCATACTCTCCTTGCTTAATGGGGTAAAGTTTTTAAACAAAGCAAAAAATAATAAATTCAGACCATAGTATTTACCTGGGTTCTCAGATTGGTCAATTTGTGCCATTGTTATCAAATGCCTGTTGATCAGCTCCTGTGTGATAAAGGAAGCATTAGTTCATAAGGGAGTCACATGCAGACGACGTGGCAAAGGTCACAGAACGGCTTTTCACAGCACTGTACCTCTGCTTTCAAAAGGATGGGCAGTACTGCTGTGACTGCAGTTCTCTCCTTTTTTAACACAGTCAATATTTTCTTTACTATTATCGGGGAAAAAGGTGTTAATAAAGGGTTTCTTAACACATCCCTCAGTCTGCAAGACCGTAGCCTGGCAGACATGCATATTAACACAGATTGTTTTTTTGCTCGTTTTTTTCCCCCACATTCCTGGATCGCCCAGTTTCCCGGCCACGCCACGTCAGCGGGGGTGCGGCGCGAGCGACTCTACGGACGCCAAGCGGACGGGGACCCCCTGCACCGCAGCGGCATCCCCAACGGAGACGGGTCGCGGGCCATACCTGTCTGAGCTCGTCTGCCATAAAGAAGGAAGGGGCGTTGGCCTTGGGCTGCATGTAAGCAACATGAGGAGCAGTGGGCGGGTAAATATGGTACGTTGGGAAAACCTGTAAGAAAACACACGGTCAGCTGCTGTCGAACGCCGGCTTTAGAAGGTGTGTAACACAAACTGAACACCTGCTTCAAGCAGAACCAGCTCATCACTAGCCTGCAACAAGCCATTACAGGGCCTGACAAATCGATAAGACGGAAAAATGCTCACGTTGCTTATAGCATTCCGGCCAGTGACCTGACATCTGTGCACTTTCGAATCCCACGTTTATTTTACAGTTCTCCAACATGGGCCATACTATACCCTGAACATCGAAGGCGGCCCTTACTGGCCTGCTTTAATATTAATTTAAAAAAAAAACCGCTACTCCTTACCCGACTTTCTGACTCATTTCCCCTCGAGTGCTTCCGAGTCTGAAATCCGAAACAATCTAATTCTATGTCGGCTGGCAGCACGCCGCCACAAGAGAACGGGAACAAAAACAAGGCGATGGCTTGAACCGCTGCCTGCACACATCAAAAATCACACGAGCAGCTTCACCGGGAGCCTGGGATATCCGCGGAAGAGCCGGGCGGCACGGCTCGACTCGAATCCACAATTTCCGGATCAGGCACTGCCTGGCGACGGACACTACTCCCTACAATCAGGCCCGGGGCTGCTCGGAAGAAAAGAGGCCAGGGCCCAGAGCCTACCATTCCTGCCAGCGGCGCGGGAGTCGTGTCCGTGTAGAAATAGGTAGTTCCCCCCACCGTCTCCTTCTGGATGACGTGGGCAGCAGAGGACGGCCCGCCAGGGTCGGAGCCGGGGGCAGAGGCACTAGTTGGCACCAGGTAGTTGGCAGGGTTCGGGTTGGGCGTGTGGCTGCGCCGGCGCGGGGCGGGGGACGTGTGGGGGGTGATTTTCGGCGAGTGCAACGGCGAAGACCCAGCGGAAAGGGACATTCCTAAAGGTGGAGCAATGGTAAATTCCGAGACACTAGTTGAAGGAAAAACAAGGCAAACACAAAAGGCTTTCAGAAGGACAAAGTCCCATGCAGCAGGTGGTCAATGCATCAGCGCTTCTCTTTATCAGATCGGCCTATCTGACCCATCCAGCCCGTTCGGTGGTTCACAGCTGATGGATCTGAGCAGCTCCTCCAGCCGTTTCTCGAAAGCGGTCAGAGTATTGAGTTCAGGGAGTTCCACACTCCCATAACCCTTTGCATGAAAGGCACGCCAGTATACAAGCAACAGGAGCTCACACTGCCCATCACTTACCATACCCTTTGTGCACTTTCATGATGCTGCTTCTTCCCGTCACCTTTAGGAGTCCCTCCACTGACGCACGTAAAAGGTATTGCTAAAATTCACTTTGTCAGGATCTTCAAAATTAATGTCAGAAATGAGAACACTAAGTTTCACTTCTTTTCTTTTATAAAGGTCAAGCCAGGAAAAAAAAAATCCAAAGCTGAAACTTAACTCCCTCATAGACACCTCCGTGAACGTGAAGCATTTTCACACTGTACGAGTACTGTAATAATTCATATTTTTACTGTATTAATTCACCTACTTATTCAAGAAAAATCTAGCATTCCAGCCATCGCAATGCCACACTTCTTTAAGCAAATGAAACTACTTTGGCAGATTTTCGTCACTTTTTCTCCACTTTCTTAACTCTTTTTCCCCCCCCATCAGCAGCCACTCACCTGCCAGTCACTGTAAGAAAGTGTCAAAAATAACGTAATATTGTCTAGTTATCTAGAAACTCCGACCGGGATAAGCAAACACCCATTAAACCTCCCTGCCAACACACACGCAATGCACCTGCACCTAAGACAAAGCAAACATGCAGCGCCGATCCCCAACAACGTGATGGCTGCGATCATGCGATCAAGAAACAAAACGGCACGCATCTCTAAAACAAGGCAAACACCACGACCCATTTCTGTCCCCCCCCAGCTTCTTCCAATTGTGTGCCAAGAGGCAACACAGACGGCGACCTGCACCTTGCCAGACCAGCAGAGCCCCCCCCCCCGACTCACCTGGAGCGAGAGCTGCGGCAGACGTGCTGGCCAGGGTCTGATGGGAGAACAAGGCTGTGGAAAAGGCAGGCATGCTGGACTGGGAGACGCTGGCCATCCGAGGAGCGGGCCCACCCTTGGGAATGAACTCACTGGCTGCGGGATTGGGAGCCTGTCGCACAGACACGCGTCAAACACACTTAGGACACTAAGGCAAGGGTTTGGAATAGACTACAAGCTCTTCAGATGGGTCATGTAGGGGGACTGGCCTTTAATATAATGAAAAGGGGACATTTCTTATCAACTGGGGAATCCGTTTTTCCCCCACATAACCACAAAATGCACTTGAACTGTTCAAAGAACATTACAGTGATTACCTTCTTCATATTTTCACAAAGATCTGAGCTGAATCTCAATAGTGCAAAAACGTAGTTGGTCAGATTTCACACGGGTCATTGTGATCTAGGGGTGAAGTGTCTGTTGAAAGGTGGGTGGGTATTGATCACAGTCTATTGACACACCTACCTTCCTTCTCTGAGATATGCTCAGTGCAGCAAAGTCATTGAATAAAGACGATACAGGCGAATTTACCGGATCTGCAAACAGAGACACTCCATTTAAATAAGTAAAATTGTGCAGACTGGAAAAAAAAACACTTCTGCTGCTGCTACTACTACTGAGACTACAACTAATTACATTCCTAACTTAAGCTTTGTGTATCAGGAGTGCCATGCTAACACTTGACTGAAGGAAATGCTTTTAAAGCTCTGTGAACTGGTCATGATTTCAGAACCTGTTCTTGGACAAGAAAATGATGTAGCTGAAAACACAATACAGATCAGAAACTAAGCAAGCACTTTTTTTGCTCTCTTTTATCATGTTTGTTTTCTGTGCCTACTTTTGTTTAAAAGTGCATTGTTTTCAAAACAGCTAAGAAACTGGAAATTGTTAAAACGGATCCCTCTCTGCATCTACTGCCAGAGACAAATTCTCCTCTATTGCCACTACATGTATTTGAGCTTCCATAATATGAAGGAAATACTCAAAACACAATACAAGGTATATACGAATGCAGGAATTTATTACTGTTAAGCAGATAACCTAGATTTAGCTTAACTTTTCTTAAATGTACATCACAATAGAAAGGCTGATGTACCACTTGGCTGCTTGCTATGTCTGAGTTTATGCTTTGGGTGTAAAGAGACTGAGTCCTGTACAGGAAACCACAGCCTGGAAATAGAACACGCCTGGAAAAGCAGAACATTCATCAGCCAGAAACCTATATAGGCCCTTGGATTTCTATTATTTGCATGTACTGTAAGAAAGAAATAGTTTCCTGGCATCGTGATTCTGGCTTTGGTCAAGTCACAGAATAGACTTGAGCCTACAGTTCAATTCTGGGCACCATCTCTTTACTTACACTTGGGAGACATGCTCACCATGACTACTGCTCCAATAAAACCTTTTCCGCAGGAATGAGGAATTTCAAGCACTGCGGAAAATGTCCTTTCTTCTAACCAAAGCCTATTGTACTGTATCAGGAATCCAAAAACCAGAGTATTTCTGTACACTTCAATACTGATCCAGTGTCAGCTAGGGACAGCAACTCTTTCAGTCATCAATGCGCATGGCTGGACACTCGTTCTGATCTATGGAACCAAAAAAAAAACTTAAAAGCCCTCCAGGCTCCCGTCAGCCTGGAATAGGCTAGGTAGCCCTAGTTTTTGCAATCCAGCGACATCAGTGACACGATGTGAATCTCCATAAGGCTGGCAAACAGGAGACCCTGGTTAGGGTTCTAACAAGGTCAGAAAAGGAGCCCAACAACTCTCTAGAGCAGCCAGCGAACTGGCGGGAGCTCAGGAGGGTTAGGGTGAAACCCTAAAAATGAAGAAACAGTGTAACCGTGTCAAATAACCTTTGTGCCTTTTATTTTGAAGCAAGTGGGCACCACATCTTTCACATAACACTGTGGATGCCAGCATCGTATCACATGCAATCAAATAATCGCATCTGATGCAGCTACTAATCATATGATTAAGGCATGACCTGATCTAGTAAGCAGCAGGCTTAATAAAGGGCATAACTGTTGCTTAGTATATTAAATGGTTTGAATTATTTTATGGGGGAAAAAAAACTACATATTAATACACATTTCCATGCGCTTGTGGACTGACTGGTTAAATTGAACACTTTGGCACTACCACAGTCCTGCTTCTTTTGGGAGACGGAGAGCACTGTTCAGACAGCAGTCATGCACTCATACACATGCCAACAGTCACAACAACAGAACAGTGTAACACGTCACCGTGTGGGGCATAGCTCTTGGCACTGTCGTTCAGCAAGCTCGGAGAGCTGCTGCTGCTCGTCATTCTCTGAAACGAAACGACAAGAAAGCACGAATTAGGCTGACAGACGAAATTACGGACATACACATCATAATCCTTCAAGGGTGGAGAAGTCTGCAGTGAACTAGTGACATTTTTGCAATAAATGCCGATTTTTCCACTTTCAGAATGGATGGAGGACCCAGATTTGAAGAGGTCCATGCTTATAGTACCATCTTATTTGAATGCGCAGTCGTTGAAATGGTGGCTGTCCACCCACCAAACACTTTCATTTCGAAGCGTTTATATCCATCAATAGAATATTTACTGCATTAACTCACAAGCCAGGATCTCCAAACAATTTAATATGATTCAATAACTTACCAAACATTTACATCGAGGAAGGCACGTTTAAAGGATTTAGAAGCATGAACATGCACCTGTCATTTCATCGGCTGTCTTCACTTGCTCTTCCTGAAAGGAGACCACATCATAGAATGTGACCTCATGATGCCAAGCGCAGACGCAACCAATCTAACTCCGCAGCCAAAGGAGAGGCAGAGCCCTGAACTGTTCACATAACCAGGAAGGCAAAGTACTGAACTGCAACAAAAAAAAAAGTTGAGCTTTTTCCTCTAATATTTGCTGGACCACTAGACACGAGGTCACAGGTGATGACCCAGGTGGCTCCTTTCAGGAACAGCAAGTGTCCACAAACCTCAGAATGACCGGTGCAGGTGTACATTCATAAATGGATCAAAATCTCATTCCCAAAATACAGATTTAAAAAAAAATGATTTATTCATATAATGGTGATCCTGACAAGTAGACAAATGTAATATTATATTGATGCTCCATTAATACTAAAGCCACCCATAATGTCTGCAGCACTACTGCTGATGAAGGTTCCTACTTGCACACATTCAGATGCATTACAGAAATAGATCCAAAATACGATCGCAGACAGCCCTATTCTGCAGCTCTGAGCACTACTGACCAACACACCCACAGATGCACGTACACTTCTTGCAATTTCCAACACTTCCATCTTCCCTGAATCGTTTTAAGCACTAAGTCACTTTCTCCCCACACCACCGTCAAAGCAGTTATTCCGACCGATTACATATGAAACAGGCGATTTCCAGGGATATAATACACTTGCAAACTGCCAAGTGCAGAGTGGCCAGGACAACTCCTCAGGTGGCTCCTGCGGAACTATTATTACCTGCATCATGGAATATTTTGGCTCTGCAGGACTTCCAAACCCATTGACTCCGATGAAGCTGCTGCTGAAATATGAATTTGTCAGACTGGCATCTGCTAAAGGCCCTCCATCCATCCCTGGGACTGCGGAGTCAAAAACATGTCACTGTTAGTAAGGCTGCTGTGCAGTTTGATACAAAAGCACATCACTGCAAAAATAAACATCTGAGAAGAGCAAGAGCATCAAATGCATTGTATCTAGGAAAGATTAAGTGCATGCAGAACAGTAGAAGGAAAACAATTTTCAGCTGCTGAGCTTTCTTCAGGTGTGTAACACAACAAGAAGCTGCGCAGGTTCAGCAACCAATGCATGATGTTCACTACAAGCCCTGCCACCAACACTGAGCCTTTTTCCTCATTACTTTGTGGTGTTTGGCTAGCTCTGTTCATCACATTTTAATGTTATAAAACCTGAGGCAAATGGTATATCCTTGATATTAAAAAAAAACAACTATTTATTAAAAATTACATCTACTACTTGTGCAAGAAATTTCCCCTTTGCTGGCTATGCCAACAGAACCGAAATCACAGATCGTCAGTGACCTGGAATAGCAGCAGATGGTCCTCATGCTCAATGTTCAAGGGTAGCTGCTCAGTTTTGGCTTCAACGTTTACTGGGCAGATTAGCAAAAAAAGATTTAACTATTACCGACACCAGTGACAAACCTCCATGAAAGAAAGGGTAACAAGAAGTGAACTTCTATATTTTCCCATTAATCACAGCAATGCCACAGAAATGTTAGGCTAATCATTCAACCACAGTCTACAAATATGCATGACCATCACTGCAGCAGCTAGCCAAACCTACTGGACCATTAGATTAACAGTGACCAAGAGAGGTGCAAAATGTTTTATTCTTTCAAATCTTGTGTGTGTGAAATAATCCCATGCAAAGTAAATAAAAGTTCGGTTTTTCGTTTGAAAGGCCCAAGTTTTGGAGTGTGGGTTGTACATCCCATTGCTTGCCAGCAGTGATATCACCCTGCAACTCACAACTGGCAGCCCACCGAAGCCTGGTCAATACCTGGATGGGAGACTTCCTGGGAAAAACTAAGGTTGCAGCTGGAAGAGGTGTTGGAGGGATCAGCAGGGGTCACTCACATTGCGGTCTGTGTGGGTCCTAACGCCCCAGTACACTGATGGGGACACCATGCCAAAAACAATTATTCTGATCTTTGGATGAAATGTAAAACTGAGTTCCTGACTCTCTGTGGTCATTAAAAATCCCAGGGTGTTACTCGAAAAGAGGAGGACTGTTACCCTGGTATCCTGGCCAAATTTTCCCCTGGCCTCCTAGAAATCCCCATCTATGAATAAGCTTCATCACCATGTTCTCCTCCCCAATGAGAGTTGGTGTGTGGTGAGTGTACTGGTGTAATTTGGCTATAGTTGCACAATCCAAGTGGGGCTACACACTGGTGCTGATAGAGGGGAGTCCCCATTACCTGTAAGGAGCACTGAGTGGAGTACCCAGAAAAGCCCTATAGAAGTGTGGGGAATTATTATTATTATTATTTCCGTGATGCTAGTGACTGAAAAGAAAGTGGTCTCTTTCTTTTCAGTTTCACTCTTCTAAGGCTGACCCGACTCCGTTATTAGCTCCTTTAACATCGTGGTCCAAACCGAACAATGTCTCCGAAATGACGAAATGGTGTACAATGACACCGACTCCTGGCTCCTCATACCGGCCACCTGCTGACCCAGACCGAGACTGAGGAGGGAACTCAGTTGATCTGGCAGCCCAGTATGTGATCTCCTGTC